GAGTGTCACTGATCAGTCCATGCGTTTCTCTCCTCCCTGTGCTGCCATACCTATCATCCTACCTTTCCCTCAGTTCCTGGTCACGTCAGTGCCTTGCCTCCGCATCTTGTTGCGATGCCAAGTTGTCATTGTCAACCTCTCATGTCATGTCATGTCATGTCGCTCCTCACCATCACCACCAGGCAGAACGTCATTGACAACAACTCTGATCGGCGTTCTTGTTGTGACCCTTCTCCCACAACACTACCTTCTCCCATCTCACCCTCTCATGCCTCCACCAGACATTCCTGGAAGCAGATTGCCAACTCTCACCACGCCTCTGCTGCCATGCCAGTACCTCTGCAGGGAGGGGGTGCCAGTGCTGTTTTTTTTAGGCGCCTCAAAAATACATTCCCATCCCAACCCCTCATGTACCTGCATTCATCACCACCAGACATTCGTGGAAGGTGATAGACAACTCCGATCGTGCCTCTGCTGCCAGCACAGCTGCAGGGGGTGGCGCCACAGCGTTTTTTCTCTAGGCGCCTCAGAAATACCTTCCCATCCCAACCGGGTACCCCCCTCTACCTGCATGCACCCCTCTCAGGCATTCTTGGAAGGTGATAGACAACTCTGACCGCGCCTCTGCTGCCAGCACCGCTGCAGGGGGTGGGGGCACAGCCGCTGGCGCCAGCACTGCAGGGGGAGGGGGGATGGGGGGGGAGGGGGAGGGCATGGGGGGCGTGGGTGGGGCGTCAGCAGCAGCAGCAGCAGCGGCGATGGGGGCGGTGGAGGTGTGGGTGGCGATGAGACGCAGTGTGACTGGGGCAGGGGAGCCCCTGGGGGTCATTCTCAACGCCGCTGCTTCTGTCTGGCTGCCTGTGCCCATGCCTCTCGCGTTTGAGTTTCTGCGGAATGAACAGACCCGTCGCGAGGTGAGAGGGGGAGGGATTGGGGAGGAGGGAATGGGCATGGGGTGCGTGAGGGAAGGGAGTGGGGCGTCAGCAGCAGCAGCGATGGGGGCGGTGGAGGTGTGGGTGGTGATGAGACGCAGTGTGACGGGCGCAGGGGAGCCCCTGGGGGTCATTCTCAACGCCGCTGCTTCTGTCTGGCTGCCCGTGCCCATGCCACTCGCCTTTGAGTTTTTACGGAACGAACAGACAAGGCGCGAGGTGAGTGAGGGAGGGATTGTTGACTCAAAAGGCGCGAGGTGAGTGAGGGAGGGATTGTTGACTCAAAAGGCGCGAGGTGAGTGAGGGAGGGATTGTTGACTCAAAAGGCGCGAGGTGAGTGAGGGAGGGATTGTTGACTCAAAAGGCGCGAGGTGAGTGAGGGAGGGATTGTTGACTCAAAAGGCGCGAGGTGAGTGAGGGAGGGATTGTTGACTCAAAAGGCGCGAGGTGAGTGAGGGAGGGATTGTTGACTCAAAAGGCGCGAGGTGAGTGAGGGAGGGATTGTTGACTCAAAAGGCGCGAGGTGAGTGAGGGAGGGATTGTTGACTCAAAAGGCGCGAGGTGAGTGAGGGAGGGATTGTTGACTCAAAAGGCGCGAGGTGAGTGAGGGAGGGATTGTTGACTCAAAAGGCGCGAGGTGAGTGAGGGAGGGATTGTTGACTCAAAAGGCGCGAGGTGAGTGAGGGAGGGATTGTTGACTCAAAAGGCGCGAGGTGAGTGAGGGAGGGATTGTTGACTCAAAAGGCGCGAGGTGAGTGAGGGAGGGATTGTTGACTCAAAAGGCGCGAGGTGAGTGAGGGAGGGATTGTTGACTCAAAAGGCGCGAGGTGAGTGAGGGAGGGATTGTTGACTCAAAAGGCGCGAGGTGAGTGAGGGAGGGATTGTTGACTCAAAAGGCGCGAGGTGAGTGAGGGAGGGATTGTTGACTCAAAAGGCGCGAGGTGAGTGAGGGAGGGATTGTTGACTCAAAAGGCGCGAGGTGAGTGAGGGAGGGATTGGGGGAAACGGATATTGGGGTGGAGGAGGGAAGGGGCGCATACTCACCCCCTTCTCTCTCCTCTTGCCTTGTGCTGCATGCGCTCAACCCTGTACCTCTTCCCTCCCTCTTCTTGCCGCCTCCCTCCCCCGTACCTTCTCCCCCCATGTTCCTCCCCAGTGGGACATCCTGACGAGTGGGTCAGTGGTGTCGGAGATGGGGCGCATACCAATCAGCCAAGGCCCCATGCTGCATGCACCCTACCCCATCCCTCTTGCCTCCTGCATTTCCCTTGCCTCTCCCTCCCCCCATGTTCCTCCCCAGTGGGACATCCTGACGAGCGGGTCAGTGGTGTCGGAGATGGGGCGCATACCCATAGGTGTGGACCATGGCAACTGTGTGTCGCTGCTCAAAGTGCAGGTTAGTTATGGTCCCCTCTTGAAACGTGTGTAAGGGCGTACTTAGGCGCATTCAGGTGCATTCATTCAGGTGCATTCATCCAGGTGCATTCATCCAGGTGCATTCATTCAGGTGCATTCATTCAGGTGCATTCATCCAGGTGCATTCATCCAGGTGCATTCATTCAGGTGCATTCATTCAGGTGCATTCATTCAGGTGCATTCATTCAGGTGCATTCATCCAGGTGCATTCATCCAGGTGCATTCATTCAGGTGCATTCATTCAGGTGCATTCATCCAGGTGTATTCAGGTGTATTGAGGTGTACACTGAGGTGTGTTGAGGTACCTTGAAGCACTAGTGTGGACCATGGCAACTGTGTCTCGCTGCTCAAAGTGCCGGTTAGTCCTTTGTTGCGTAGCCCCCCACGGTGTATTGAGGTTTATTCAGGTGTATTTGGGTGTATTGAGTTACAGGTCAGCATTCGAGCTGTGGGTTTGAAGTGGTCGGACCATGGGGACTCTCATGGTCTCAGCTGATCAAATTCTCCAATATGGTGCTTCAAAGCATAGGCTTTGAAATGGGCATGTTGAGCTCCCTATGCTTCCCCCCTCTGCCAGTCCCTCGCCGCCCTCACCCCTACGTGTGTCCATCCTGCGCTCTGCCCTATAACAGCAGGCGGCAGCAGGCCCAGGAGCGCAGACCAACATGCTCATTCTCCAGGAGACCACCTTCGACCCCTCAGGTGCGCCCAGGTGAAACCTCAGATGATTTCCAGGTGTTTTTCAGGCGACCTTTAGGTGATTTTCAGGTGTGCGACCTTTCCTCCAATCAACGTCAAGCGCCGTTCGATCCGTTTCACTCCTGGCCTCCCACCTCTATGTGCCCTCCTCCCTTTCCTCCCCTTCCTCCATCCAGGTGCCCTCATAGTGTACGCACCGGTGGACATACCAGCAATGAAGGAGGTCATATCAGGTGGCTCCTCCGACTCGGTCGCTCTCCTCCCCTCGGGCTTCTCCCTCCTCCCCGACTGTTCCCTCTCCTCCGACCAACGAGTAGCCCTCTTCCACGCCGCCCCTGTCCAGCCCACCGCGGGCGGCGCCGCCTCGGCAGCATTCGCCGGGGGGGCGGCGGGGAACGGCCGGTATGGGGCGGAGGAGGGGTGGCAGCAGGGCGGCGAGGTGGATAGTCTGGTGGCGCAGGCCATGCGGAGTGCTGCGAGGAAGAGGGCGCTGGGACACGTGCCTGAAGGGTCCATTCTGACTGTCTCGTTCCAAATCCTCGTCAGCCCTAATCCCCAGGTATGGGCGGAGCGAGAAGTGGTATATGGATTAGGAGTGAGGGTTATGAATGGAGCGATGGGCATTGCTGGTTTTCCTGATGGACAGCAGCATTTGGGCATGCTCGCTGTGTAGCTCACATGGAGATTCAGAGCGCACGGGGTGCCTTACGTGACATGTTCACTGTGTTCACTCAAAAGTCATCTCTTTTGGGAAGGGATGACATGTTCGCTGTGTTACTCACATGGAGATTCAGAGCGCTCGAGCACGAGTGTGCTCGCACTGCCCCCCCTCTATCCAACACTGGCTGGCGAATTTTTGCCAGTTGACTATCGTGGCCGCCTCATTGGCTCCTCCTGAGGCAAACCCCTTCATGCACAACCCAAATCCATTACTGCCTGGCACCACTTCACCACCCCCACTACCCCCACCATCCCACACCCCATCGTCCCCCCACCACCCCACACCACCGGCATGGCATGGCAGGCGAAGCTGACAACGGAGAGCATGGCGACGGTGAACTCCCTCATCTGCTGCACCGTGCAGCGCATCCGCCAGGCCATGGATGTTGCTGCCGCCACGCTCTAGCTGATGGAGACAAGGCTTCCACAGCAGCCCACCTGTCCACCTGTCCACCTGTCCACCTGTCCACCGCAGCCCACCTGTCCACCTTCAACAACTCTCTCATCTGCTGCACCGTGCAGCGCATCCACGTTCTCATCATCTTCCACCCCTCAGAGTCGCTCTTCCAGCCTCCACAGGTGCTCTCTGACCACCTCCTAGCCATCTCATCAGCCTCTTATAGCCTGTCTTACCACATGTCAGTGCCATAGCCTTCTTATAGCAATCTGATAGCCATTTCATTCGTCATCTGCTAACCATCGCAGGGCCGTGTCATAGGCATCTCCTAGCCCAGCCAGCCAACTGCTGGCAACCACACAGCAGCACAGCAGCTGCACACCTTTCTGGTGCCACCTGTGCATCCCTGCGTGCACCAGTGTGCGTACCATGGCAACTTGTAGCTGTAGGGTTTTTATTTATTATGCTGGTAGGTCATTGGTAAGGAAGGACAGTACAGTAGTTTTTTCAAGCTGTCATGCATTGTGTCTCTAAAAATGTTTCAGAAGGCTATATTGCACATTCTCCACCAACGGACAGGACCCATACCGAACACATGGTTTAAGAATCTCAGCTGCACGAAATATTGTATTAGTCACTTCACCCAACTCTGTCCAGTCACTCCAAAGTAAGGAAGCTGAACTACATACAAAAACTCTGCTCTGACTGAAAAAAGAACTAAGCACCAGTCGCTAGAGCTGTCTTCAAACCAGCAAAATTAGTGCCGGAATTAGAGCAAAATGGGACAGCTTTAAAGCCCAGCTACACCGAGCAATATTCAGTGTAGAAAAACTTGATCACCTAGAGACCTCCGGCGCAGGCGAGGGAGGCAAGGCGTAGGGGTACATAGACATGGGCGACCGTCCAGCCATGTGATGCGACGAAAACGGGGGACCCAGCGGCGGCGCGAGGGAAAATGCGAGGGGATCAATGTGGGACGAGCCTAGACCACCGCCGAGGCTGGACCCGAGGCTCGATCCGAGGCTGGATCCGAGGCCGAGTTGCGCGTTCATGGGGTGGCCGTGCGCGGCGGCTGCGTGGTGCAGGCGCTGCAGCTGGCGACTGAGCTCCATGGCGTGCGAGCGCAGCACGCGGTTCTCCTCTGTTAGCTGCGTGTAGTGCCGCGACGCCATGTTGTACCGCGTCGACATCTCGCTGTTCTCCGCGCGCAGCTGCGCCACCTGCGTATGGGCAGCGAGGGGAAGCGAAGGGAATATAGCCCAAGAAAACGAGTTGAGGTGAGGAGGCGGGAATGGCGGTTGCTGGTGATGAGGCAGTGCGAGGGGGTGACAGTCGGGTTGTGGGGACACTGGAAGAAGCAATAATCAAGAACCAGTAACGGGACGGAAGATTCCGAACAGACCGCAGGCGTGGATAACCCGACCCGAGGATGGGGCGTCACGGACCTGCTGGCGCATCTCGTCTAGATGGTGCTGCTTCTTCAGCCGCGACCGCCGCGCCGACTCGCGATTGCTCAGCATCCGCTTCTGCTTCCGCTCGTCCACCACCCCTGGATCTTCATCCGACAACGGATGCGACATTCGTGACCCGCCATGATCCTGCTGCCGATGCTGCTGCTGCTGATGCTGCTGCTGATCCTGGTTCCTCTGCTTGACGTCGGCGTCGTGGGAATTGTCGCCATTGTGGTCTCTAGCTTGGCCGGTCTCCCCTGGATGGTGATCGCCTCTGTGGTCTGTTTCATTACTTCTTCCCGCGGAAACATCGGGGGAGTTCGCTACGCCGCCATGACCCTTCCCGAGCTCATCTGAGTGGCAGCTCTGACTGTCGCAGCCTTCCGAATTAGGCATTTTGAACGAAATGAAATCTTCCTGCTAAAGCTATATAAAGCACGTAATTTCCTTGTTTGGAGCACGGTCCCAATAATGCTTTGCTGAATAAAGAAACGATCTTGCGGTGGGCAAAATCTAGGATGCAGGGAAAGGAGAGTGTAAGTGAGAAGATATGACGGTGAAGAACCAACTCTGGCTAAGTCGCCAGTCAATGCACACCTAATAAGTATACAGTCCTGAGGAAGATAACGGTAACTCTAAGGAAACTAGACGTCTCAGCTGAAGTCAAGCTTGCACTAACGGCAAGGCATTGTGTCGAGATAAAGCGGTAACTCGAGTCATTTGCAAAATGCAGGCTAAGGAGAGAGCTTGTGAACTAGAATCATGCTTGCCCCTCTTCTGGCCTTGTGTCTGGTGAAGCTTGATTGGGGTTTGGGGTTGTCGGCTATGGTTGCCTGAGAGGTGCTTTGAGGTTGATGCGCGCGTTTAGATCGCGCTCAAGGCGGGCACCACCCTCGCTGATCTCTTGGAGGGGATCGAGGGAACCGTAGAATTCGTAGTGTTCGAAAAGTTGGTTAGGCGTGGACAGATGCTCCCTGGTAACATTATCTGAAAGGGGCAAAAGTGACAGTGGGGGATCAGTGTATACTCACACGACAGTGTTGCGAAGAAAACAAAACAGGACCTGTCGGTTCGAAGAAAATGTCAATACCTGCCCGAAATGACTGTATACAGCTGGAGGACTTTCGAGGGGGCCTAGAAGGCCCCACCATACATGGCACGAACGGCGACCACGCAAGCCTGACGTGTAACGCTGAGTCATTCGTGGCCGTTGCTGAACCATCGGGAGCCATCCTTCCCAAGTCCGCTTTTCATGCGTGGGGCTTAGTCACGGTGGTGCATCGCTGAGGCGAACCCGCTTTTTACAGCTGACGGATGGCAGGCGTGATGGACAAGGTTGTGACGACAGCTGAGTCGACGCCTTGTCATGATCGTCAGATCAAGCGGCAGGCAGATCCGTGTAGTAAGGGTACTTACGTATATATCGCAACTCCTTATGGATTATCGACGCTTTAACGTCAGTCCTATAGTATGTTCGTAACGAGGACAAATAAAAATATCTGAGCAAATCCGTCACTCTTCTGTCTTTCTCGATCTCGAACGAGCCACTTCTCGCTTGGTTTCAGGTGACAGCTGAAGCCGCATCGGCGAAGATAGATCTTTGTTGCCAAGCCATGTCCGCGCTGCGTCTCGCGAGTAGCCTCGCCAATGCTGGCAACATTCGCGGCGAGTTTGCCGCGAATCGAGTCAGCAGCTTTACAGGCAGAGTTGTCGATCCATTCCCCGTAACCGATCAAGCAAATCATTTCGCCCGGAATGTTACCCAGCGAGCATCGCGAAGCGTAGGCGAGAGCCCGTCCTCCGCCGCCCGCTCTTCTAGCAATTTGAAAATGGTCGCGCATGCGAACATTGCGACGACCCCTGCGACGGAGACGGTCACGACAGTGGATCCGACGTCGCCCGACTTCTGCGGCGAGGACGGAACAGTGCTCGTGCGACCACTAGCGGACATCCAGGCCGGCGATAGGAAGGGAAAGAAGTTCCACGTGCACACCTTCGGATGCCAGGTGGGATCGATCTATTGGCGGGTCTCGGGATGCCTTATTAGGAGGACGTTTTATGCCCTAAAATGCGGCCTGACTTTTCAAAAATCTCATTCACGGTGCTCCAACGTGGAACCCTTAAAATCCGCCGAAGTCGTCAGAACCCTCAACCCTGTCAAACTGTTTGCCTCTCTCCCTTCTTCTCGCGGTTTTAAACCGCTCCAGTTTAGAGGGCCCGAGAATTCACAAGGAAACAAACAATTGGATTCAGCCGCCCCATCTTTTCCCCGTGGCCCACGAACCGCCTTTCGCTTCCGCTCCTCTACCTCTCCCTCTTCCCCCCCTTCCCCCCCGCAATCCAGATGAACATGGCGGACAGCGAGCGCATGGCGGGCGTCCTCGAAGCAATGGGGTACGAGGCGACGGAGGACCCGGATCAAGCCGCCGTGCTGGTCTACAACACGTGCAGCATCCGCGACAAGTCCGAACAGAAGGTGTATTCTGCTCTGGGGCGGCAGCGCGAGCGGCGGCGGAGGGACCCGAGCATGCGCGTGGTGGTGGCGGGGTGCGTGGCGCAGCAGGAGGGGCACGCGCTGCTGCGACGCGTGCCTGAGGTTGACATTGTGATGGGGCCGCAGCACGCTAACAGACTGCACGAACTGCTGGAGCAGGTGGGTGGAAGGAGGGAGGGTGGTCTGGAGTGAATCTTTGAAGCAGCAGGAGGGGCACGCACTGCTGCGACGCGTGCCTGAAGTGGATATCGCGATGGGGCAGCAGCACGCGAATAGACTGCATGAATTGCTGGAGCAGGTGGGTGGAACGAGCGTCTGCACTGGTGGAGAGTTGGGTCGCGGCAGGAGGGGCGCGCGTTGCTGCGGCGGGTGCCTGAAGTGGACATTGTGATGGGGCCGCAGCACGCTAACAGACTGCACGAGCTGCTGGAGCAGGTGGGTGGACGCAGGGGAATACGGGTGGGCATCACAGGGATGACGCTGGGCGACGCTGGGCGACGCAGGGATGGGGCTGGGCGGTACAGGGATGAGGCTGGGCGACACAGGGATGAGGCTGGGCGGCACAGGGATGAGGCTGGGCGGCACAGGGATGAGGCTGGGCGGCACAGGGATGAGGCTGGGCGGCACAGGGATGAGGCTGGGCGGTAGCACATCAGGTGCCTTTGCATGTGAACAGTGACCAGTTGTAAAAAATTGCCTTGTCTTCTTGTGCCCCCCTGCTTCAGGTGGATCTGGGGGCGCAGGTGGTTGCAACAGAGCCAATCCACATCGTGGAAGATATTGCCACGCCCAGGAGGTCAGTGGGAGCACCTGGGTTTTGGGCACCTGGGATGGGGGCACCTGGGATGGAGCTTGCTTGCTTTCGGGCTGTGTAATCAATGCGATGCTTGTCCGTGCATTCAGTATAGTGCTGCAGCACCAAAAAAAATAACAAATTAGAGCTTACTTTAAAGCATGCTTGTTTTTAGTGCTGCAGTATGCTTGTTTTTTACCAATTAAAGCATCACCTTACACTGATTCCTGTCCATGACTTGTTAAGCAATCCCTCTTCCTGTCCTTGTTTCTGCTGCTGCTGTGCTGTTGGGCTGACAGGGAGTCCACAATCACAGCATGGGTCAACGTCATATATGGTGAGTTGCGCGTACATGGTATACGATACAGTGAGTTGCGCGTACATGGTATACGATACAGTGAGTTGCGCGTACATGGTATACGATACAGTGAGTTTGAGCTCTGCATTACACTCTTGTAATGCAGTGGCGTGGTTTCTAACAGCCTGCTTTTGAGCCGCCTTAAATATCGTAAGTGGTACAGTGAATGCGAGTTCTGAAGTCAGTGTGCACTTGTAATATAGTACAGTGGCACGTTGCTAGCAGCATGCTGCTCACTCCTGCATGACGGCTCTGCTCTGCTGCTGCTGTGACGGCACAAGTTTGCAGCCTTTCAATCACTGTGCTGTGACGGCACAAGTCTGTACAGGCCAAAAATAAAGTAGTAGGTAGGTACAGGCTGGCAGTGCTGTGCTGTGCTGCACCCGAGGCAGTCAACGGGACTCTTTCGCCCATGTTATGTGTACACCAAATCTCTGACTCTGATGGCGTCTTACCCTTTCTCCCCCCTCTCCTCCCCTCCTTCCCCCCCCTAACGCCCCTGCTCCCCACACACCCTTCAGGGTGCAATGAGAGATGCACGTACTGTGTGGTGCCGGGGGTGAGGGGCACGGAGCAGTCACGAGAGCCAGAGGCCATTCGCCAGGAGATGCAGCGACTGGCAGCAGCAGGATACAAGGAGGTCACGCTGCTGGGGCAGAACATCGACGCGTATGGGCGCGACCTGGGGGGGTCGGCAGAGGATGGGTCTGGCAGGAGGAAATGGACGCTCACTGACTTGCTGCGATACGTGCATGATGTGGAGGGCATTGAGAGGATTCGCTTTGCTACTTCGCATGTGAGTGAGTGAAGGGGTGCGTTCCACATGTCACCAGTCACACCAGTGTCACACACACCACCACCGGGCAGGAGGAAATGGACGCTCACTGACCTGCTTCGATATGTGCACGATGTGGAGGGCATTGAGAGGATCCGATTCGCCACTTCCCATGTGAGTCAGTAGGTGGTCGCTGGCAGGGCTGTTGAGGCGCCTCAAAGTTGAGTGAGTAGGTCACAGGGCACAGGGAGGTCATATTGCTGGGGCACAACATGGACGCGTATGGGCGTGACTTGGGGACAAAGTGGACTCTCACTCACCTGCGTCACTACGTGCATGATGTGGAGGGCATTGAGAGGATCCGATTCGCTACCTCCCATGTGAGTCGCCAGTTGGCTGTCAGCCTGCCAGCCCGCCAGCCCGCCAGCCCGCCAGCATTGCCCCATCTCCCCCCCGTGCTCATGTCCCAACCCACTCCTCCTCGTCCCTCTATTCCCACCAGCCGCGCTAGCACTGAGCTGCCCAAAGGCTTTCCCGTATCCATTCAACTACCCCCCCCTTCCATACTCCCACCCTCCCCCCTCTCCCTCTGTGCCTGTCAGCCGCGCTACTTCACAGAGCGGTTGATCCGGGCGTGTGCAGAGCTGCCCAAAGTGTGCAAGTTCTTTCATATCCCCTTCCAATCCGGGGACAACGACATTCTCAAGGTCACTGGAATGGTTGCAATGCGGTGATGGGGGGTGTGACGTGGTGATAGGGATTGCGGACACGCTTACTCTTGGCAGAGTGATGTGGCAGTCGCACATAACCATTCCATCTCTTCATAAAGAGCAAGAGACCCCACCCCTGCGAGCGATTGTTTTGCAAACTGCACAAAGCATTCGATTCATGTGGCGCAATCCTGGTTGCCTCTCCTTCCACCAGGCCATGGCACGCGGCTACACGAGGGAGCGCTATCTGGATATCCTCGCCACCATTCGCCGCTACATGCCCCATGCTGCCATCAGCGCTGACGTCATCGTTGGCTTCCCAGGTGCGTTGTCATCATGCTGCGGCTGCTGGTTCGTTGGAAGAAGGGAACTTTCCTCTTTCCCCTCTGTCCCGACTCCCAATGCTGCTCTTGGCTCTGTCAAAAAAGGCAAATGTCTTTTTTTTTTTCCACCCATCTTCATGAACGTCCCGTCTTCCTTTCTCCCTGTCGTCAGTCGAAGCATCAGCTTCGTTTTTCCACCCGTCTTCATTACCCCATTTGCTGCAATGTGTGCATCTGCAGGGGAGACGGAGGAGCAATTCCAAAACACTCTGCGGGTCCTGGAAGGTTCGTTTCAGCACAGGTTCATGCAAGATACGATTCAGGTTCATGCAAGATACGATTCAGGTTCATGCAAGATACGATTCAGGTTCATGGAGAGTGTGCTTGTTAAGGGCAGGTATTGTGTGCAAAACGCTTTGGGTGTTGCCTTTCGCCCTTCCTCATGTTGTTTGTAGGATGTGCATGCGAGTCTGCAAGTGCTCTGTTTTCACCCATCATGATGTCTATCTTTCCTCCACCTCCCTCCTTTATAAATCAATTCCTCCTCCATCCCTCACTTCCCCTCCACCCCTCCTCCACCCCTCTGATCAGAGGTTCGTTTTGACCAAGTCAACACAGCAGCCTACTCGCCACGCCCCAACACACCAGCAGCTGACTGGCCCAACCAGGTACACCTTCCTCGCTCACTCCCCCTCCTCTCTCTCCCAGCCCTACCCCTTCCCTCCGCCCTCTGCCCCTTGTATCATAAATCACTCTCTCCGTCCTCTCCCCCTCTCGCCCTCCTCCCCACCACTCTCGCTCCTTCCCTCCCTCCTCGTGTGTGTGCATGCAGGTGGCAGAGCTGGTGAAGATAGACCGACTGCAGCGCATCAATGAGTGAGACCTGCACCCTCTCACATCCCCTCACATGCCCTTACATGCCCTCGCATGCCCTTACGTGCCCTCACATGCTCACATGCTGCTCATACTGTCTAGTCCTGGAATGTCTCGTGTCCGCCTGTCCTTATTGGTGAGCCATTGTCTCGTCTTATCGCTTTTTTCATAATTTCCGTTATGTCCGTTACCCATTGCCAACCCCTCTCTGCCATTACTCACTCTCCACTCCCCCCCTCCTCCCCCCACCAACCCCATCCTGTTCCCCCAACCCCATCCTGTTCCCCCAACCCATCCTCTGCTGTATCAGTCTTGTGCTGTAGCTCTGCTGGCAGCACAGCCAGCAGTAACTGGGACAATCACTCACGTCATCATCCCCCTTCTTTGTCCCCCCTCTCTCTGTTGCCCTCCCTCAACCTCTCTCTCTCCCTGGCAGGATGGTACTGAATCACTGCTTGGAGCGCAACCAGTGGTACCTTATGCATAACCACTCACATGCTCACCTCACCCCTTCTTCCCCCCTCTCCCTGTCTCCCGCCTTCAACCTTTTTCCGTCACAGGATGGTACTGACGCACTGCTTGGAGCGCAACCAGCGGTACCTAGGGCGCATTGAGCCACTGCTGGTGGAGGGAGTAAACGCGCGAGCAGGGCGAGAAGGCGAGGTGAGAGGGGCAGGGAGGGGCAGGGAGGGTGAGGGGCAAGGGGCCGTGATGGTGTGGGTTGGATTTAGTGGAGGGGAAATACGAGCTAATGGGCAGGCAAGGAGAGGTGTGGTGACAGATTGAGAGTGGTGAAACGCTCTGCATGGTTTCTCATATGCTTTCATGGGTTTTGCTGCTTTATTCAATGTGGTGTATGGCATGGCATGGCATGGCATGGTGTCACATGGCAGGTCATGGGCCGCACAGACACCAACCGCCTCACTTTCTTCAAGGGCGGCCCGGAGCTCATCGGGCAGATAGTGCCGGTCAGGATCACGGATGTTCGGGCAGTCAGCCTCACTGGGGAGCTGGTCTCTGCTGCTGAAGCAGCTGCTGCTGCTGCTGCCGTTAATGCTGCTGCTGTTGCTTGAAATGGTGCTGTGCAATATGATGATGCATGAAGAGCAAACAGACTTGTGCACACTGCTGGCTGCAGTGTTGCCGCGGTTACTGCAGGCAGGCATGTCCATTGCAGGAGCATGCTGCTGCCAACGGTTGATAGATAAGTACTCAGTCGCAATGGGTGATTACTCACTTCACTGTTGCTCTGCCTTGATCATAGCTTTCTCAGTGAAAACACTCTTCATCAAGCTGCTTATGCAGCCACTAGAAGGGAACATCTGGCTATGCGTCCGTGAGACGCAGGACCACCCACAACTCTGGACAACCGCCACCACTACTGTAAGTTCCCATCTGATCCCGTCCCATGTCTTTTGACTGCCTGCTGGGACACAGAACGGTACATTATATCAGAACATGCTGCACTACTCAGCTTGCAAAACACACAAGCAAATAACATATACCGATCCATATATTTCCGCTACATCCCTAGCTATCCGTCAATCCTCCTTTTCACCGGCCGCCACATCGCAACAAGTCCACACCACGCTAGCCATAGCAGTCCCAGCCAGCAGCCACTGGGTGGGAGCAGCACCTTCCAGCTCCAGCATGCCACTATTCTGCAAAGAGTAGCACCCACCCACGCACCAGCTCCCAGAATTCCTTATTCTTCCTCTCTTGTGCCTTCGCCTCACCAGCCACTTGGCCCGCATGCACTCTCCTCTGTCTCTGCCTTCCCCAGGTAGTCTGCATTGGAAGAACATACACACCTCCGAAAGAGGCTTCAAGCCACGGCGTGCACTCTTCACGCCACTCTCTCTCTCACAAAGGTTCATTTCTTCCTTTCCTCTCCCTCCTCACCAGCATCCCCCTCTGCTCCACGACCAGCAAGCACACTTCCACTCCCAGCCATACTTGGAGCCGAGAGTGGTTTCCAGCCACAGCTTCACTCTTTAGCTCCCACAAAATCAGCTCCTTCCTTCCTCTTCCTCCTCACCAGCATTCCCACAGCTCCACAGCCAGCACACACAATCCGAACCATAGTCTGCTCCGGCAGAGGCCTCTAAAGCCAGGGATTTACTCATCTCAAAACTAACTCTTCTTTTCCTCCTCCTCCCCCTCCGCATCACCAGCATCCCCACAGCTCCAAGGCCAGCAGGAACAGTCTGAACCGTAGTCCGCACCGGGAGAGGCTTCGAGCCACGGTGTGCATTGCTCCTGGGAGTGGTACCCCGGCGGCAGGTGCTTGTGAAACGCCTCCACTGCTCCGTCCACCCCATCCTCTTTAGATATCTTGACGGCTAGCTCTCTCGCTGCTGCCACCACCTGACACAAGTAACAGGGTCCGTGTTTGAATAAGAGGGATTTCTTAAGCGGCCATGCACAGGGACATAGTAAGCCTCCACTGCTCCATCCACCCCGTCCTCCTTGGCTATCTTCCCCGCAAGCTCTCTCGCTGCTGCCACCACCTGGCACAAAGTGAGAGGGTGCACATGTTTTTCTAAGAGGGGGCATGCACATGGACCTAACAAGCCTCCACTGCCCCGTCCACCGCGTCCTCCCTGGCTATCTTGCCCGCAAGCTCCCGCGCTGCTGCCACCACCTGCGATGTGGGGAATAGAGAAGTACGAATGAGGGAATTTACTAAAGGGGGCATGCACACAGAGAAATGAAGCCTCCATTGGGGATGGGCTGCAGCCACATCACCTCCCTCCCTCCCACCCCTCAACTGTCCCATCCATTGTGCACCGCATGCCCATACGCTGCACCGCCCGCCCATACGCTGCACCGCCCGCCCATACGCTGCACCGCCCGCCCATACACTGCACCGCACGCTCATACGCTGCACCGCCCGCTCATACGCTGCACCGCACGCACATACGCTGCACCGCACTCACATACACTGCACCACACGCACGTGCACTGCACCGTGGCCACATCACCTGCCTCCCTCCCACCCCTCAAGTGTCCCATCCATCGTGTCACCTCATCTCGGATCATGAAATCAATGGCTGCTACAATCTTGTCGAGCGTGAGTGAGCCGATGGGGATGGGCTCTGGACCCACCCCCGCTGCATGCACGCGTGCCCCCCAGAAGGGCTGGTCTCCGAAGAATGGGATGATGGTGGTGGGGCACTGCGGGAGGAAGGGGGAGCAGGGAGGGGGGGAACATAGGGAGGGAAAGGGATGGGGACCCACCCCTGCTGCACGCGTGCCCCCCAGAAGGGCTGGTCGTCGAAGAATGGGATGATGGTGGTGGGGCACTGTGGGAAGAAGGGAGAGAGGGAGACACAGGGGGATGGGAGGAGGGGGTAGGAAGGATGAAAATCCATTCTGTGCCCGCTGCATGCACGTTCGCCCCCCAGAACGGCTGTTCGCCAAAGAACTGGATAATGGTGGCGGGGCATTACGGGGAGGAGAGGGAGAGAAGGAAGTGGGAAGGGAGAGCGGAGAAGGTGAGAGTGAGAGGATGAGGGAGGGGTGTTGGGTGAGTTGCAAGGTAAGGGGGAAGGAGGAAGCATGGGGATGGATATTAGATTGGCTGTATGATAAGAAAGCTGCACTAAAGGTGGTGGGAGGTTGGAGGCAGGAAGCAGCAGTGGTGCCCACGCCCTCGTGATACACCACAGCCTGGCATGGCATCAGACTGGCACGAAAACCACCCACCCCATGCACACACCATTCACCCCTCTTATTGCAACCATACACACCCACTCACCCTCACCTTGCCCCCCATTGCAACCATACATACAACCACTCACCGCAGCCTTGAGCCCGGCAGCAGTGGTGCCGGCGCCCCCGTGATGCACCACGGCCCTGCAGCGAGGGAAGAGCCAGTCGTGCGGGCAGTTGCCGACCACCAGCACGTTCTCATTGGGTGTTTCCACTGGCGGAGTGGGGGAAAACAGAACAGAGGCGGGGGGGGATAGAGGTTGACACACTCACAGTGGAGTGCAGGTAAGGTGGGCCAAGGGAAGGATACAGTGGGCCAAGGGAAGGATACAGTGGGCCAAGGGAAGGATACAGTGGGCCAAGGGAAGGATACAGTGGGCCAAGGGAAGGATACAGTGGGCCAAGGGAAGGATACAGTGGGCCAAGGGAAGGATACAGTGGGCCAAGGGAAGGATACAGTGGGCCAAGGGAAGGATACAGTGGGCCAAGGGAAGGATACAGTGGGCCAAGGGAAGGTGCAGGGGAGAAAGGCAAATCGTGTGGGCAGAGGCTTTCAGATACGAGCTGTCAGACGCAGACAGGTGGGCTGCAGAGGTCTTACTTCCATCAACATGCAGGCTGCGTATGAATGAGAATACAGTAGCTCTTAAGCGCACCGGGACTATCATTCCCTGTTTCTTTTGCACTCACTCACTCATTCCATCCATCCCACTCACTTCACTCCATTCCTCTATCCCACTCACTCACTCTTGCCCAGCCCCCCCCAGCCCTCCTGCAGTATCCCGCGCTGTCCTGTGCGCTCTAGAGCTTCCACAAACTTCTGAGTCAGACCCTTGGGGTCTGATACCGGCTGCAGGGGGGAGGAGAGGGTGCGGAGGGGGGGAGGGATGAAAGGTGAGCAGAAGACAGAGATGGGGCGAACCATGCTTCCCCATGGCAATCTATCCCACGGCCATTGTGTAGAATGACACAGCAGGTGCAGTGACTGAAAGACAAAAAGGAAAAAATAAAAAACAATACCAACAAGAAGGGGAAGAGCGGGCTACCTTTGTGTGGAAAGCGAAAGATAAGAATGACACACCAGGGCGACACTGTGTGAGGGAGACAAGAGAAGGAGAAGTGAGTGACTGACCAGGCTACCGAAGCCGATGAAGACAGGCGGTTGGCCAGAGTTAAGCCACTGCTGGATGTGCGCCGGGGGCGAGTAGTGATCTGCCAGGTTGAGGAAGCAGAACCCCACCACGTCTATCAGGTTTCCCCAGTCTGGTTTGGGATGAGACAGCAGGGGTGGAGGACGAGAAAGGGGAGATATGCAAGGCGGAAATGCATCAGGGAAGGTGAGTGTCAAAGATGGGGCGAGTAGTGGTCCGCCAGGCTGAAAAAGCAGAAGCCCACAACGTCAACCAGGCTGCCCCATTCCGGGTTTGAGGCTTCAGGACTCTGACAACGGGCAGGAACCAGGGGAGTGAAGAGGGGTGAGAGGGGATGTAGATGGAGGAGGTAGAAGGGTGGGCAATGAGAAGTGGGGATCGTGGGACTTATCAACCCTGGGGCTTGGAAGGAGCGCAGGGTTTTGGCATACCATGGGGTTTGGGGGCGAGCGTGGGCTCACCATGCGGTTTGGGGGCGAGGGTGGGGCTCCAGATGTAGCCGAAGGGGATGCGCATCTTGGGGCGGTTGCGCAGAGGGATGGGCGGCAGCTTGAGCTTCTTATGGAAACTGTTGATAAAGTCCCTCACGCCCAGCCACATTAGCCCCTCCACCACCACGTATGATAGCTGAGAGGAGGGCATGACGAGAGGGGAGGAGAAGAAGGGGAAGGGGAAAGGGATAGGGGAAGAGAGGTCAGTGAATGGGGTCCCACACGCCCAGCCACATGACCCCCTCCACCACCACTTAGGTTAGCTGCAAATGGAGGGGAATGGAGGAGAGGAGGAGGGCGGAAAAAGAACAGGAGAGGTGGGTTGATGAAATCCCTTGCGCTGAACCACATGAGTCCCTCCCACGCATGGCTGGGAGGGAGGGGGGAAGCAGAAGCGCTTTCAATCAACTGGTCGCAAATACCCCTGGGCCATTCGGGGGGGGGGGGGGGGGGCGGGCACATACGACCTTCCATTGCCAAGCCATTTGTGGGATCCACCCACGCTGGTGCATCACAGCACGAAAGGGCACAAAAAGGCACCTGGTTACTGACGTTCTCAAGCCCGAGGCAGCTCACCTGTTTCGGTCCCCCTTCCACAGCTCACCCACGCAGGCCATGTTTTAGGCGCCTGAGAGGCTGTTGCTTCTCTGCTTCTGCAGCTAGCCCACTGCATGGAGGAGGCAAGGCCATCGCACCTGGATCTTAAAGCCCGACATTGTACCTGGTTCTCGTAGCCTGTGTAGGCATGCATCTCGCCAGCCAGGGGGTGGGGGTACTCTGTCGTCATGCTGCCAGTGCAACGGGGTGGGATGCGAAACGGATTGGAGTGGCACGGGATAAGAGCGTGTGAGGGTGATCAAATAACGCGTGCGTGAGGTGCGGGAGGAAAGGGATGGAGTGCCCAGATCCTGAGAAAATGGTGAATGCGGTGATGTACTCCATGGCATGGTGGAAGGACTTGCCTATGGCCTTGACGATGCATGGTGAAGGGAATGTGCCGTGTCATGACATGAGAAGCATGATGAACAGTTGATGGTGAAGGGAATGTGCAGTGTCATGACATGTTAGGCAACAGGGACAAGTGATGGCGTGGAGGTACCTCCATGGCATGGTGAAGAACATGTGGAGGGGCACTTGCAGTGCTTCTGCCACTGTGGCGTGACCTGCATGCGTGGACGCATGGGCGGAATGGAGGCGCATGGGGGCGCGTGGGGGCGGAATGGAGGCGCATGGGGGCGCGTGGGGGCGGAGTGGAGGCGCATGGGGGCGCAAGGGGGCGCGTGGGGGCGCGTGAGGGCGCATGGAGTTGTGTGTGCATGGGAGTAGACATCAATGGCTGTGTGGTCGCTTTTCCATGCGTGGATGAGTGTATAGTTGGGTGTGCTGCGTACATACATACCGTACACGGGAGGGTTGGCAATGATGGCGTCAGCACGGAAGGGGGCGCCATTGCTGGCGAGGTCGGGCTGGGTGCAGGCGGGCCAGGTGGAGAAAATGATTGACTTGAGCTGCCGCCGCTGCTGCAGCACCTCCTTGCGGCTGGATGGCAGGAAGCCCTTGTTCTTCACCATGTCTGCACGGGGGAACAGGGGGGAGGGGAAGGCGAGGTCGGGCTGGGTGCAGGCGGGCCAGGTGGAGTGGAGAAGATGATTGACTTGAGCTGCCGCCGCTGCTGCAGCACTTCCTTGCGGCTGGACGGCAGGAAACCCTTGTTCTTCACCATGTCTGGAGTGGGAAGAGTGACGAGACGGGGAAAGGGGGAAAGGGGAGGGAGGAGGGGGGAACGAGGCACTGAGAGGTGTAAATTGGATGACCTCCTCCTTTTGCACTCACAGTCCTCCACCCTTGTACTCACGATTCCCTTCCCTCCCCGCACTCACATCCCACCTTCCCCCCTACCCGCACTCACATCCCACCTTCCCCACTCTCCGCACTCACATCCCACCTTCCCCACTCTCCGCACTCACATCCTCCGCCCTCCGCGCACTCACATTCCGCGAGAACCTTGGGATCGCCGCCCAGGGGGTAGAACTCGAGCCCGCCCGCGATGACGAAGTCGCGGTAGTTGCTGTGCGACGCCAGCCGCACGCGGTGCCCGTAGCCCTGCCATGGGGGGTGAGCGCGGATGGCATGGGGTGGGGGGAGTATGGAACGTTTTTCTTGAGGCACCCCAAACATGAACTCGAGCCCGCCCATGAGGGGAGGACCTACATTCGCGTTACGCTTATAATTCTTAGACACACTTCCCCTCACTTTCTCGCCCACTCCCTCTCCCGCCAGCCCTAACTTTCCCCCACTCCGGCGCGACCCTTCCTCCCTATTACCCCTCCTCCTAACAATCCCCCCACCACATTCACCCAACCACCTCCGCGCCCTTTTCCCCCGTGCGCCGCACCTTCAGTTTCTGACCAATGGCGATGAACGGTTGAACGTCCCCGCGGGTCCCCACGATCAGTATGCAGATGTTCAGCTTCCCCACGCTCTCCGCCGCGCGCGGCGCAATAATCTCGCCCTCTCTGCCCGCCTGGTCCTGCGGCTGCGCGAACATGTGCAGAAACTCCTCCTGGAGTTCCCGAGGGAAGTTATCCGTGTGGATCTGCACCTTGTAGTCCTCCCCCACTAGCGTATTCCGCTTCAGCTCGTTGTAAAATCTCGACGCGACGGCCACGCGTTGCCGGGCCGTCAGGTACGCGGACCGCCGGGTGTAGGGCGACTTGGTACGTGGCAAATCCGTGGCGGCTCGTCTCATATTAGACGCGCCGTCTCTCGTATCCCCACCGTCCGACCCTTTCTCCCCGTCCATTCCGTGGCCGCCGCTTAGAATCATGCTGTCGCTAACCCTAGAAGACGTGCCGTCGTCATCCTCGTTATGGGACTGTTTCGCCATAATGGGCAACGAGTACACTCTAACGGTATCTGTGAAAGATGTCGTCGGATCGGATTGGTTGCTGTTCCGAGAGCCTTGCTCCCAGCCGGTCGCGGAGCGCACTGCGGTCGCGGGTTGATCCATGCCCGCGAGCGGTTGCGCTTGGAAGTGCGGGGGGGTAGCTACGCCTCCTGTGTTAGCGCGACTCGCTTCGTTAGAAGACGGATCTTGAATCACAATACGAGGCTCAGGCGGAGGATTAATAGCATCGGCGGCGGAAACAGCAACATTTGCTGATGATGCAGCTCCTATAGAGGCATCGTTAGTGGACGACGGTGGTCCTGGAATGTCCGCGGCGCTTTCCCGGTCAGTGACGGAAGGCTGTGTCATTTTGAGCCAGAGACTGGCGTTGTGCCAGAAACGGCTTTTTGCGACGCGAACAAACGTCGAGTACCCTACAATCTATGACGTCCCGCGTATTGAGGTGCTCGCTGGGATCGACTCTTTACGAGAAACATGTACTTCTAATTAGTTTTAGGGAAACTCCACGGTTGACAAGAAAGTGACTCGCCAGAGAACCAACGAAGGAAGCATCGACGCAACGAAACGTCGACGCGGGCCTTGCCTTCTTTGCCGGAACCAATCAGCAACGTCGTTTCTTGATGTAGGTGGTGCCAGTGTACTGTGGCATCAAACTTGGACTTGTTCGCATCAATGCTCTCTCCGTGTACGTACGTACACAACAGAACTAGGGAGTGCTTGCCGTATCAAAAATCTAGGAGCGCTCAGTGTACACTCTGAAGCACGTCACCTCGCGCGCACACAGCTTCCATGCGACATCAAAAATCGAGGAGCACGGCACGACACAGCACCTAGCACTGCACCTTGGTTGTGCTGTGTCCTGTCGTATCAAAACGGACGCCTCTCCGGCCTTGCGCAAGCCAGCGTTTCATCCTAGCCACAGAAGAATCACAGCCCAATCCACGGCTTCTGATTCTCCCCTAGAAAATGTCGCCTGAAACTTCAGCTATTGGTGGTTGGCTGCACAAGAGTCTCCGCTACAGCAATGTAGCATCGAGATTCTACTGACTATGAGCCACATGGATGGGGGAGCACTAACGCAGGGATCCGCGCAGGTGCTGAGCTTTGTAAATTCCATTCACTCAGTTCAATATGAAATACTGTTGGAAACATACAGTTAAGTTCACGCTTCTGATGTGTCGAGCACTACAATGTAAACGAAGCGAACTACAGCGGAGTAACAGCGAGTCAACCAAAGCGGTTGACAAAAAGCAACAGAAAGAGGTTAAGTGAAGGTCAAAGGTCAGAGACCTTTGACTCGCCGAAAGCAGTGCGACAGTAACGACACATAACTGACTCACTATTGAGCAGTTACCCGAGTCATCGCTGTATTGAACCGCAACAGCACCAGGTCCTTCAGCGTTTCGCCTTCCGGTTCTCCTCACCACAGCTCACTCCTCTGTTTACCGGCCACTCGCTCTCAGCTCCACCTTTGGATGAGTCCGTAGAGCCGAGTGGTCCGTACCCAGAGCTTGTGGGTTGCCTCATGTACCTGATGACGTGCACACGACCTGACCTCGCGTACCCTCTCAGCCTTTTGGCTCGCTACGTGGCTCCCGGTAGACACCGAAAGGTGCACTGGGATGCTGCGAATAGGGTACTGCGCTACTTGTGCAGTACATCGGGCATAGGCCTAGTGCTTGGATGACAAGGTTCAGTGGTACTCACTGGACACTCCGACGCTTCTTGGGCCGACGACCAGGCGACTCAGCGTTCGTCACAGGGTTACACCTTCAGTCTTGGATCTAATTCTGTCTCGTGGAGGTCCACTCGTTCTTCTTCTGTGCTTAGTTCCAGCTGTGAGGCCGAGATCTACGCTGGGCCATGGCTGCACAGGAGCTACGCTGGCTGACCTACCTGCTGACCGACTTGGGGGAGCGGCCTCGTTCTCCTCCAATTCTGTACGTCGACAACAAGGCAATGCTTGCCTTGTCTCACGAGCAGAGACGATAGCACAGAACGAAGCACATTGCTCTTCGCTACTTCCTTGCGCGTGAGCTGCAGCAGCGTCGTCAGCTCCGCCTTTCCTACGTGGCCTCGCGGGCCAACACTGCTGATGTGTTCACCAAGGCCCCTTGGGTCTGGTGATCATCAGCGTTCCTGTCAAACATATGTTTATATGTTATAGTTTAGGTAGGCTTTAGTGGGGTACTCACTGTGGGGTACAACCCCTTAGGTTTTCATTTTGTACCAACTCTCTCGATAGTCCATCGACACCTTTCTCTTTACTTTCGACATGGTATTAAGAGCGACATAGGTCCCTAGGAGCGTTTTAGGACTTTTTTTCGGGCCCACCAACCGTTTTCCGCCGGTTACCGAGTTACCCCGCCCCTTGCCTACACTGCCCTACGTCGCGCAGCCCTCGCGCTCGCCTCTGCTGGCCCTCGTACAGCCCGCTAGCAGCCCGCCTGCTGCCTTGTCAGCCCCACGCGTAGCCCGCTAGCGGCCCTGTCAGGCCCGCGCACCGCCCCGCAGCCCCCGCGCTGCCTTCTCCTGCCCCGCGCGTAGCTTCGCAGCCCTCGAGCTGCTTTCTACGGCCGTCGACGCGGCCTCGCCCTGCCGCGGTCGCGGCCCCACCCTGCAGCCGACGCGGCCCCGCCTGCGCGCTGCCCCCCCCCCCCCCCCCCCCCCCCCGTCGCCAGTCGCGGCGCCTGTGGGACCCGCGCGCTGCCCTGCACCAGCTACGCCGCCCCTGGTGCAGCCGCCCCTGGACCCTCGAGCAGCCGCCCCTGGCCCCTGCAGCAGCCGCCCCTGGAGCAGCCGCCCCTGGACCCAGAGCAGCCGCCCCTGGCCCCTGCAGCAGCCGCCCCTGGCCCCTGGTGCAGCCGCCCCTGGACCCTCGAGCAGCCGCCCCTGGACCCAGAGCAGCCGCCCCTGGCCCCTACAGCAGCCGCCCCTGGAGCAGCCGCCCCTGGACCCAGAGCAGCCGCCCCTGGCCCCTGAAGCAGCCGCCCCTGGTGCAGCCGCCCCTGGACCCAGAGCAGCCGCCCCTGGCCCCTGAAGCAGCCGCCCCTGGTGCAGCCGCCCCTGGCCCCTGCAGCAGCCGCCCCTGGAGCAGCCGCCCCTGGAGCAGCCGCCCCTGGAGCAGCCGCCCCTGGACCCAGAGCAGCCGCCCCTGGCCCCTGAAGCAGCCGCCCCTGGTGCAGCCGCCCCTGGACCCAGAGCAGCCGCCCCTGGCCCCTGAAGCAGCCGCCCCTGGACCTCGAGCAGCCGCCCCTGGACCCAGAGCAGCCGCCCCTGGCCCCTGAAGCAGCCGCCCCTGGTGCAGCCGCCCCTGGACCCTCGAACAGCCGCCCCTGGACCCTTGAGCAGCCGCCCCTGGACCCAGAGCAGCCGCCCCTGGCCCCTACAGCAGCCGCCCCTGGACCCAGAGCAGCCGCCCCTGGCCCCTGAAGCAGCCGCCCCTGGTGCAGCCGCCCCTGGATCCCGCGACGCTGCCCCTGGACCCCGTGCAGCCGCCCGCCGAGCGCCGGCCCTGCTCGCCCGGCGAGCGCCTGCTCTTCCCACCACTGGTGAGCACCTGCCTTGTTAGCGCGATGCCGCACCATCTGCCTGCCTGCCTACCTGCCAGCCTGCCTGCCTGCCTGCCTGCCTACCTGCCAGCCTGTCTACCTACCTGCCTGCCTGCCTGCCTGTCTGCCTGCCTGCCAGCCTGCCTGCCTGCCTGCCTGCCTGTCTGCCTGCCTGCCGCGCCTGCTCTGCTAGGCTACTGCTACTGGTACTGGCGGTGGCCAGATGCAGCTCCAGCGACGTCCGCGCGAGTCTCTCACGCCCCAGCAGTTACGTGAGTGGTACGCTAGTTGGGGTTGTGGTGGTATTCGTCATAGCTGTCGCCCTAGAGCTGGTCAGTTGGGAGCGTCTGGCAGTGGCCAGCTGCAGCTGCAGCGGCGTCCACGCGAGACACTTACGTCCCAGCAGCTTCACGAGTGGTACGCTCAGAGTAGGGGGTCTTTGAGTACCGGTCGCTGCCCGTACGTCATTCGCACAGGTGATCGGACGGGTCAGACTTGCGGGACGCTTAGTCACACCCAGTCCCGCTGCTTCGCCCGTCTGAGCGACGCCTGGCGTACCGAGTTTGGCGACGAGGCTGAGCTCCCCGACTGGGTGGAGCTGCTTGGGCAGAGGGTAGATATCTTTGCTCTTGACTATGATGCTATTCTCACTGCCATGTATGCATTGCCTACTAGTGCTGCCAGTACCTGTTACCTGTGCGCCACGCTTGACCCAGGTATAGAGCCTGCTGCCCTCGGTGCTGGTGAGGCTGCTGCTCTAGGTGCTAGTGCGTCTCCTGCTCTGGTTGCTGGTGAGGCTGCTGCTCCAGGTGCTGGTGAGTCTGCTCTCTTTGGTACTGCGCCTGCTGAGGCCCTGTACACCTTCACACTTGACTCAGGTGCTTCCCGCTCCTTCTTTCACGACAGCATCACCCTCACGCCGCTCAGCCGGCCGGTTCCAGTATCCCTGGCAGACCCCTCTGGGGGTCCAGTCCTTGCGCGCTCCTCCACGGTCCTGCCGTGTCCGGCGGTCCCGTCTGGCTCCCTGTCAGGTCTTCACCTCCCCTCGTTCTCTACAAACTTGGTGAGTGGTGCTGACCTCCAGGACCAGTGGGTTGACCAGTTCACTCCTGGAGGTCAGCGCGTGACCCACTGTACGTGCTCCCGGACGGGCCGGCACCTGGCCACGTTTACCCGTGCACCTGGCTTGAGTTTGTACACACTGACTACTGTGTCCCCTCAGGTCGCTGCGTCTGCGTCTGCGTCAGGTCAGCTAGCGGCCCCCTGCTCATGTCGCGCTTTGTCGCACCAGACCCTCCTTTGGCACCACCGCCTTGGTCACCCCTCGGTGGAGCGCCTTCGTAGCATGCACCGCCGTGTCCTTGTCTC